CTTTTATCCCAGTCCCTCACAGTCCCTCCCAGTCCATCCCAGTCCCATCCCAGTCCCCTCCCAGTCCCTCCCAGTCCATCCCAGTCCATCCCAGTTTATCCCAGTTCTCTCCCAGTCCATCCCAGTCCATCCCAGTCCCTCCCAGTCCATCCCAGTTTATCCCAGTTCATCCCAGTCCATCCCAGTCCATCCCAGTCCATCCCAGTCCCTCCCAGTTTATCCCAGTTCATCCCAATCCATCCCAGTTCCTACCCGGCCTCATCGCGCCGCTTTCTCCACGCGGGGCTCGCGCGCCTCTGCCGGAACAGGAAGTGACGTCACAAAAAAAGCGCGTCACGCACGCGACGCTCGGGACCCGCCCACTCCCTGCAGGACGCGTCCTCAGAGCGCCCCAAGGAGGCTCCGGAGCGGATTTCGGGGTAAAAAACGGGGATTTTGGGGTAAAGACAGGGGATTTCGGGGTAAAAAACGGGGATTTTGGGGTAAAGACAGGGGATTTCGGGGTAAAAAACGGGGATTTTGGGGTAAAGACAGGGGATTTTGGGGTAAAACCGGGGATTTTGTGGTAAAACCGGGGGTTTTGGGGTCTCTAACTGGGTATTTTTGGTGCCTGGGGAGGTTTTGGCGTCATTTCGGGGGCAATTCCGGCGGACTCCGGGGCGCTGGCGGCTCCGTGTCGCCGCCATTTTTCCTCCGGGAGAGACGCTCTGTCCCGAACCTGCCTCTCTGTGCTCTTTAGTGACGTCATTTCCGGCGACTCTCCGGCGCTTCCTGCGTGACTCGTTGGTTCCGGCGAGCGGCGAGCGAGGGTGAAAGTGACTTTGAGAACTGGGATGTACTGGGAGGGAACTGGGGGGAACTGGGATGGACTGGGAGGGAACTGGGGGAACTGGGAGCACTGGGAGGGACTGGGATGAACTGGGAGGGAATTGGGGGGAACTGGGATGGACTGGGAGGGAACTGGGATGGACTGGGAGGGAACTGGGGGGAACTGGGATGGACTGGGATGAACTGGGAGGGACTGGGAGGGAACTGGTTTGAACTGGTTTGTACTGGGATGGAACTGGTTTGAACTGGTTTGGACTGGGATGGAATTGGGGGGTTACTGGTTTGAACTGGGAGGGGATACTGGGATGGGTCTGGACCCAACTGGTTTGAACTGGATTGAACCGCTTTGAACCGGTTTATACTGGTTTGGACTGGTTTGAACCGGTTTGGTCTGGTTTGAACCGGTTTATACTGGTTTGAACTGGTTTGAACTGGTTTGAACTGGTCCATACTGGCCCGTACTGGTCCATGCTGGTTTGAACCGGTTTGAACTGGTCCATACTGGTTTGAACCGGTTTGAACCGGTTTGAACTGGTCCATACTGGTCCATACTGGTTTGAACCGGTTTGAACCGGTTTGAACTGGTCCATACTGGTCCATACTGGTTTGAACCGGTTCGAATTATCCCAGGTCAGCCCGGCAGCACTAATTAATTAATTAATGTGTTCCCAAATTAACGAGGAACCGAATGGCTGATTGATGGAGCGCTAATTAACATAATTAATCAGTTAAATTAATGAACCCAGGGGTTGCTAATTAGCCCAGGCAATTAATCCCTTAATTAATATTCATTATTTAATTAATTGATGTTTAATTGTCCCTTAATTTGTTTCCATTGCTGCTTTGTTGTTTCTTCATCCCAGCCCGGCATTAATTAACCGTTAATTAACCCATCTTAATTAGCCCTTTGTGAGCTTTGATTAGTTTACACGGCGTTAATTAGCCTCATTAATTAGCGTCCAACGTTGATTTTTGTCGGCTTTGCCCCCATTTGGGTTAATTAAGGTTTTAATTAGCCCTTTGTAGAGCTAATTAATTCATGAGCTGCTAATTAGGCTGTTAATTATCCTCCATGTCAATCATTGTCAGGCCAGGGCGGGATTCGTTAATTGCTTCATTAATAATTAATTCCAGGAGGTTCTGATTAACACAGTTGGTTGCTAATTAATTAAATTAAGCGCTAATTAATATACTAATTGGCTAATTAGGTGCTCATTAGCAGCCTTAATCAGCTAAATTGTTCTTAATTGGTTTCAGGCTCACTTTTAATTCCAATTTTGTATTGATTAGCTCATTAAGTAATTAATTAGCCACAGAGTTTTATTAATACCGCAGCTCGTTAGGTAATTTGGCTGCTAGCATATTAATTAGGTGCTCATTAGCATAACTAATGATTTTTTAATGCTAATTGCTCCCAGGTTCATGTTCACTTTTAATTGCAGGAGAGAACTAATTAATAGTTAAATGAACTAATTAATGGACTAGATTGATAATTAATTAATCAGCTGCTTATCAGTGTTTCCGGTTAGCTAATTAGCAGCTAATTACCGTAATTAGCAACCTCAGAGAGGCGGAGCCTCCAAATCTTCATTCCCGCCCCATTTTTTGGGTAATTAACGACCCCTGAGCCCAATTAACGAGCTCAGGCCAGTAATTAACAGCCGGTGGGGGGGGGCTGAGACACCTGGCTGCTAATTAAGCTCTGTAATTAGGTTAATTAGGTTAATTAGCGTGGCTGATGACATCCAGGCCAGGTTGGGGTGCTAATTAAGCTCTGTAATTAGGTTAATTAGCATGGCTGATGACATCCAGGCCAGGCTGGGGTGCTAATTAAGCTCTGTAATTAGGTTAATTAGTGTGGCTGATGGCATCCAGGCCAGGCTGGGGTGCTAATTAAACTCTGTAATTAGGTTAATTAGGATGGCTGAGGACATCCAGGCCAGGCTGGGGTGCTAATTAAGCTCTGTAATTATGTTAATTAGGTTAATTAGCGTGGCTGAGGACATCCAGGCCAGGCTGGGGTGCTAATTAAGGTGTGTAATTATGTTAATTAGGTTAATTAGGATGGCTGATGGCATCCAGGCCAGGCTGGGGTGCTAATTAAGCTCTGTAATTAGGTTAATTAGCATGGCTGATGGCATCCAGGCCAGGCTGGGGTGCTAATTAAGGTGTGTAATTATGCTAATTAGGTTAATTAGGATGGCTGAGGACATCAAAGGCCAGGCTGGGGTGCTAATTAAACTCTGTAATTAGGTTAATTAGCCATGGATGGTGATGTGAAGGGCAGGCTGGGGTGCTAATTAAGGTGTGTAATTATGTTAATTAGGTTAATTAGGATGGCTGAGGACATCAAGTCGAAGCTGGCTCGTTACAAGACCGCGCCCTTCGACAGGGGCCGAGTGCCCCGGGTGCTAATTAAGCTCTGTAATTAGGTTAATTAGCCATGGATGGTGATGTGAAGGGCAGGCTGGGGTGCTAATTAAGGCCTGTAATTATGTTAATTAGGTTAATTAGGATGGCTGAGGACATTAAATCCAAGCTGGCTCGTTACAAGACCGCGCCCTTCGACAGCCGCTTCCCCAACCAGAACCAGACCCGCAACTGCTGGCAGAACTACCTGGGTACGGCACGGGGACATTGGGGACACCTGGGGACACCTGGGGACAGGTGTGACACACCTGGGGACACCTGGGGACACCTGGGTACGGCATGGGGACATTGGGGACACACCTGGGGACACCTGGGGACACCTGGGGACATCACTGGGGACACCTGGGGACACCTGGGGACAGGTGTGACACACCTGGGTACGGCATGGGGACATTGGGGACACCTGGGGACACACCTGGGTAC